GAAGTTCTCTTCTGGCAGATTTGTAAAAATTTAACAAATTCTCTTCTTTAAATAGGTTTTTATAAAAATCATTTTCACTGAGGTCTATTAATTCTATCAATAGTTGACTTTTCAAAATTATGCTTTGAACTATACTCACTGGCCATTGAATTAGAAACCTCCATGCATATTAAGTAAGTGTTTTTGTAGCTTATGTGCAAAATACTTGAGTTGTGTGAATTACCATGTGTTCATATTAAGAATGCTGGTCAGTATTTTCATTAAATTTATGAAAATGGGGAAAGGGAAGGACTTGACAGAGTTTCAGTCTTGCTGGAGCCATGATATCTATAGAGCTGACTGGTTAAAAAATAACCCAATGTCTAAAAGAAGTAACTGTGGCTCCAAAACAGTTGATCGGGAACACGACCGATGTCATCTGAAAAGGCTAGAGTGGAAAAGAAAGGTCTTCCTCTGTGCAGCAATTGATGGAAGAATGTAATGAATCCCATCCCTCACCCATATCTACCCAAACTATGCACAGGGAAATGAAAAGAATCGTTATGAACAGTCTCGGGCCTATGTGACTTTTCTGCGAAGAACTGGAAAGTTCATCTACAGTGGTGCCAAGAGTGTCGTGATTGGGCATCCGAGTACTGGGAAAAAGTAATATGGTCAGACAAATCACAGTACACCTTATTCTGTACCAATGTTTGACAGAGGTTTTGGAGAGAGCCCCGTGAAGCAATGGACTCTGTTTGCCTCATTAACTCAAGGTTCTGGTACAGGGCACGTTCTGTTGGGACGGAACTGATCCACTGATATTCCTGGAAGGTCGGGTGACTTCCAACAAATACCTGAACATTGTTACTGATCAAGTTCATCCTGCAATGTTGCATTTTTTTCCTGTATGTGATGGCTCTTTCTTTGATGACAACACTACTGTCCATCGCGCAAGAATTGTTCAGCAGGGGTTCAGCGAGCACGAAGATAACTTTTGCCACCTATCCCGGCCGCCACAGATCTTAACCCCATCGAGAAAGTATGGGATGCATTACGACGACAGATCCACCAACAAAGTCTGCTTCCGTCAAATCTACGCAAACTAAAAGAAAGTGTAGCGAATGACTTAGCACTTCAGCACCTTATAGAATCCATGCCAAATCGAGTAAATGATGTAATTCCAGCTAAAGGTGGTCCAATAAAATATTAAACTGTTATTTCTAAATCATTGGCCAGTGAGTGTAGTTCAAGTGTTGATGAAAACAAGTTATGTGGGCTGGAAAAACATACTTCGGAAGCCATATTTGCCTCGCAGACCATAGGTTGGAGATCCTTACACTAGAATATAAATGATGGTTAGATATAAACTGCAACCAATCAAAGTGATTTTTTTTGCCTATAAAGTAAAAACTTCTTGTGATTTTTTTTTAATTTTCTCAACAGGTGACAGTATGATAGTCCAATATTTGCACAGATGCCATTTGAGTTTAGTCAAATTTTGAGACAGTGGAATTCATACAGTTAATCGGTAGTCTCTTTGTAGGATGCAAAAACATTTGTGTAGTAATGGGTTTTTTTTTTTTTACAAAACAGACATTGATAGATTTGCAGTAAAGTCAAGTACTTCCTAATGTAAAGTTCTCAAACTGTTTGCTGTTACAACATAAAATAGTGCAATTACAAAGATGGAGGGGGATTTGAATAAGAATGTGACAAACTAAAGTTTATCCCAAGTTAGGAAAACAAATTTCAAATGTATATTATAGCCAAATATCAAACTGATACTGCAAATAATTGATATGATTTTTAGGAAGACTGCATTAATGATGATATAGTCCAAATGTCTAATAGATGTGGTTTTGAAATTTGGTATAAACTTTTGCATGTTTTAAAGAAGCTTCTTTGGCAGAAGACTCCCCAATACTTTTGGATTGAAATTTGAAAAATAATTGACTTTATGCAAAAATGGGACAACTGCTGTTATTTCATTTTTGTTAGCAACCTCTACGTGAAAGCTGATGTGATACTAGCGCAAATGGAAAAATTGCCATATACAGGGCACGGGAAAATTTCAGACTAATTTCTTTGTGCCCGAGCACACGGTTCACTTCATTCTGTCACTGGAAACTACTGGCTGTGCACAATATCTTAGATAACTTTCAATGAAAATTATATTTTTACCCATTTTATTAACGTTTAACCAGTTTAGTCTTAAATATTTTTGTTAAGAGTAAAAATATTCATTAGTGTGTGATAATTAATCCCATTTTTGATAAGAATATGCTATATTATAGCACAGGTTGGCAACTTTTGTAGGAAAGGGTCAGATCGTAAAAAAATCAGGTTTGGCAGGCCAGGTTGCAAACTCAAATAGGTATCTTTTTTAATAGGTACAGTACTTCTACTCAACTTTTATTTTTTATTAGGAAGTGATATTTTACACATTATTGCTGATACTTAACATTTTTAATGAAATTATTATAGAATGGTGAAAATTTGTACTAATGCGAGTGAAATTGTTTCTTCTCAGACAATTTCACTCTTCACATTTCGTCATACTGGACTTCCAAGTTAGTAATTCCTATCTTCCCTGCGGGCCGTAGTTTGCCGACCCGTTTTAACATGCGTATCTGTTATATATGCCAAGTATTTTGTAAATATATATTTTATATTTTTATTGATTGTTTCCCACACCACTTTTATGCAAATATTTGTTTCACTTTCAAATAGTACAAAAATTTTTTCCAGTTATTCGGGTTTAGTTCTTTGTGTGGGGGGGAGAGAGTATATCAGTAATTTTTTGAGAAAGGTGGAAATATTTGCTACAATTTTCTTGTACAGATATCTTATTGGAATGCTACATCATCTCAATATGTTAGCTCTTGCCATTCTTAATGTATGCAAGGTGAGGCAATAACTATTACCGTCTTTACTTTCATCGGCACTCTTATAACATTGCGTGCATTTATTTTTCAATAGTGACTAAAGTGGAATACAATGATCTGTGACATATATTTAAGGTAAAAATGAACTGTATTTAATGACCTTGAGATGGTATATGAAGTTTAATGCAAGCCTCCCATGCTACTTACAAATCTTGAAGAAACAGAATACTCATTTAGTTTGACGACGATATCATGTATATGCATAACTAGCTGTTACCCGTGGCTTCGTTTGTGCGGATTTTGCATTTCGATAGAAATAACCCTCCCTCGGTACTTCGCTAAGATTCTCGATCATTAGTTGTTACTAATTTGGTAAAATTACTGATTTTTGTTTCAAACTATGGACTGCTAATGCACCTAAATTCGAGTTTCAAATATTACGGGATTCTGAGATACGATAAATCAGAGTTTAATTTTTTTTTCTGAAACATAAATGACGTTATCTGAAAATTCCTAAAGTATAAATATTTACAGAAAAATAGAGTTTCAGTTGTCCCTTACTGGGGCAACTGACACACTATATGGCCTAAGTCACATCCCGAACTGAATTTCCAAGACCATAAGGTCCACTTGTGAAATACAGGAAGAGTGATATATAATATCCCCAAAAGCACATGTTACATAGTTGCATAATGAACACTTCTGAATTACCACAAATAATTAGGATCTACAATGTAGAAAAATATCTCCTATTCACTAAAAATTACTGGCTCAAACCCAAATCCTGATCAACTATGTATATGTGTAAGTAACCATTATGTAGTTCATAATAATAGTGAGTTTTGTTTATAATCTTGATTACGTGTTTTTGTTTTTTTTAAAGAAATTGAGGTGTGTGTGGGAGAAAACAAAACTATTTGGGGACCTTAAGACTCAATGTCACCCTTAAACACTACAGTAGAACGTCAATTATCTGAATCAATTCGAGACTGGGGTTGTTCGGATGACCAATTATGTATAAAAAAAAATACATTATTAATATAGTATATTAGTATATCCCATGTTTAAATTTTTCTCTGTTGCGTGTTGCTTTGCATTGAATTTTCATCGATCTTAAGCGCAACGAAAATTCTTATAATCGTGGCTATTGTATGGTTAAAAATTATTACTTTATTTTGTATCAATACAAACAAAATAAATATATTGAAAAATATAAAAACAAAAAACGTTTGATTCAGCACAACACAGTCTGACTGGAACGCTTTCGATTAACGGACGTTTTGGATAATCGACGCCCTACTGTAGTTATATTTCTGTGTGTTGATATAATATATGGTAGGATCTGAAATTTTGGAGGACTTGGCATACAGTTCCTTGTCTTGAATAGTTTATACATCTGTATTTTAACCATCTTCAAAAGAATCTCCCCTGAGCAACGATACACTTTTTCCAATGCTTGTACAGCTTCTGGAAACATTACTTTAAGCCATCTTTTGCAACTCTCTAATGTCTCCTGCAGTGCTACTTTTACCTCATACGATGATTCAAAACAACAAAATGTGATGTTTGCATGAGTCCATCCATCATAAATGGCCTGCCATTTTGAATTGGTCACCAGTGGCCAAGCAGTCTTTGTATCCTGAACACTAGGAGTTCAGTTGTGGGTTTGCGCCTAACTCAGATGGGCTGGCCATGTGGAGTTTTCCGAGTTTTATCCATGTCTAACGCATAAATAGGGACCAGTTCTCCTGGAAGGCATCCCCCTAGGCAGATCACCCCCAAGTGTTGCATTGCCATAACTTAACAAACAAACATTTTGAGTCATCATATGAGGTAAAAAGTAGCATTGCAGATTGTTGCAAAAGATGGCTTAAAGCAATGTTTCCAGAAGGTGTATGAGCATTGGAAAAAGTGTATCATCACACAAGATTTTTTGAAGATGGCTGTGTATCTGTGTTTCAACTATTCAAGGCAAGGAACTATATGCAAAATCCCCAAACTTTTGAATCCTACTACATATCACTAGGATTTCTGATCTTAGCATTACTCTGCCGGCCAAATACAGATTCTGAAACAAAAGACGTTGCTTGCATACTGCTTAAATGTGTAAATAATGATTTCTGTAAATTCTAGGGTGTTCCAATACTCATCATCGGTCACCATATTCTGTTCGGCAAGGTGTTGGAACTGCAGAAGCCCTTTGCAGTCCTGAGGAGGGAGAGAACCAAAACATCCACGGAATACGTAGTGACAGCAGTGATCAGGAGAAAAATATTGTTCAGGACCCGACCAAAACCCATTGTCTCCAAGAGACTCGAGGGAATGCCCTCTACCAGCATGTAGGATTTTTCTGAATTTTGGAACAAATCAAACTTAAGTAAACTTATTCTTTATAGAACATTTACAATAGAAACACTACTCGTGATGTAAATAAACAATGCGCGTGCCATGTACAAACATGTAAAAATTTAAAACTGAAACGTCCTGTTTTGCAGACTGACATCCTGTCCTTGTCTAAAATACGCCGCATTTTCATTTCTTAGTCTCTTTGCACTATTTTCGTAAGATTCCTGCAAAAGAAACAGAAAAATTTCATAAATATCAATTTGCAGTAATTAACATCTGTATAGTCTTAAAAATGACATTCTATGTACAAAAGTGCATCGTGTAACATCTGCATTCACATAATACAATACCGCAACTGTAATTTTTATTCTTTCTGAAGCAAATACTAGAATATCCAAATGCAGAGGAGTGTGCTTTTCATCTCAAGTATTTAACTTTATATATGTGGACAGTTCAATATGTTGTCAATTAAATGAACTTTGTTATTAATTCTAAAGACAATAAATGAAATTTATAATTACAAGAATTTGAAAAGAAGTTGAGTTTCTCTGTAAGAACAATAATTGCAAATTAAACAGATCTTTATAAAGTTACGGTTGCCATATTTTGGTTAGCTAATTTTGTAGCTAAATAAAAATATACAGTATTTCCACACACTTTTTTCCTAATCAAAAATTGAAATGTAAAAAAGTATGTGAATTATTTTCAAAGGTAGACTAAATCAAGATTTCTTGTAACAATAAATACTGATAATCTTATAAAATTATGAATCTGTTAATTAGTTATATATATATATACAGTTTTTAAACTCTCACATCAAACAATATGCAGCCATTTTTCCTCTTCATAAATCAGCTGACACTCGGCTTCAACTAGCCTTAAACTTGAGGGAAGAAATATTTTGTCTGAGCAATATTGCAAGACCATGGCTGCAACACATCATATGTTAAAGCACAGCCATTGTTGCAAGTTCTTCCTCAAGTCAGACATACTTTCCAGTCTTGGGACCATGAAATGCAATGCCCTCATATTGGACTTTGTGTTGATTAGAGCTTCTTTTTGTTTATACCAGTAGTGAATGAGTGCCTCACTGATACCAAATTTTCAATCAGTGTCATACCAAGTAATCTGCTTTGTGGAACAAAGAAGCCTACTGCAACTTTGTGAGATAGCAAAAAGAAATAACAGTTTTACTGCACAGTATAAAATCAAAATGCTATAAAACATCACAATTAACAAATACCCTTTTTCCCCCCATAGCCTCCAGCAAGTACAAAGATACCATAATCTTAAGCCTGTAGAAGGAATGAGGATAAACAAAGCACATATATACCATAAATATTCTTGTTAACTGACTCATGTCCTATGTCCTACACTAAACAGTTCAATATGAGAAATCTTGCATTTTCCACAAAAAATACTTGAATATTTTGTTTTCCCTAAAAACATTCCTTGGAAATATATAACTTATACGGTGTTGTCGTTATATTATAAAAATGCATTTTTTTTTCCTGTCAAAGACTTAATGTGCAGCTGCATTGTTGACATTTCTTAAAAATAAATTACAAGCAGAAAAACCAAAACTATATTTTGTAAATTCCATTTGTTTTCTCTTTTTAAAAAACTGACTGCATTGCTTCCTAAATAAGGATAGATGCAATATTCAAAATTATTTATGTTAAAAATGATTTTATCACTGTCCAGTGCTAGGAGCATAGTCAACAAATGACAATCCAAGAGAAAAAGATTACACTATTAAACATTGCTTTATCTTCTGACAGACATTCCCATATAGATTTGATAACTTCAATAGTTATTCCTTACTTTTACAACACAAACCTACACAGAATGGCAAGATCAAAGGATACATTCATAAATAATGAAATTAGCAATGAATTTGCTGAATTTAAACGATGAGTTTTTCCAAATCTACTCCTACTCATACACCGATTGAGCCCTTTCCAATCTACTGTCAAGAAACTTCTCAGTGCCCATGAATATAAGAGAAGTACAATTCCAAATTATTATTTTATATTCTCATCATTTGGAGTATTTTGTAAAAATTTGAATATCCTAAACACTCGTGTATTTCAACAATTCATTTGAAAATTAAATAATAGTTTGTATTTTTAAGAAAGTTGACAGAATAGTGAGAATATCTGTAGAGAAGAATTCAAAGAATCACAAAGAGTAAACTGATTATACATCACTAAAATGTACACAATGTTTCACATAAGAGTTTCAACAGTCTCAGGCACAACCAATGTACCATTGAACAGTTTCATAAGCTTTTACTGGAAAGTCTGTCAATATACAAGATGGCAGAAGCAAACAGCATTTACAGACTTATTTTGTAAAAAAAATAACTTTGGGTTAATACAGACTAGTAGTAAAAATGATGTTATTACAGCTGCATCCACAGCCCATTAAGTGCAATGTGCATTAGTCACTGCACTGTTTGTACACTGGAATGTACCATTGTTTTAGATAGAATATACTTACTGAATTATGCATTCTTAATATCTAAACTGTAAATATATATTTAAAAAAATATACATGTATGTCAGATTGTTTCAAAGACAACTTTAGGAATGGGGAGAACTTTAAACACAACAAATAGCAATATTGTTTTCATGAAAAACATCTGTGACAAAGATCGTCACATATATAGCTTAACTTGTAAACAATTTTTGATAAAATATGTTATGTGGAATTTTGTTGATCAAGCCATGTTTTATTTCCAATTGAACTATGACTGAGGCACGCATTTGTCACAGTCTAATTAAAACTGTTTGGCTAATGTAAAATATGTATTAAAAACTGAATTGCCAAAATTTGTTATGGCATTTCAAATGTTTTGTGTCCACACTCATTCATGTATTAGTTTTTTTCTTTCTATCATTTTATGTGCAAAAAAAGATTGCAGAATTATGGAAATGGAAAAAAGTTTTTCTGCATCTTTATTTTATCTTGTTCAATTTGTCACATTAAACTTTAGATAATAATAAAGTTAATTTAATTTCAATACTCACTGCATTGTTGTTCCCTCGAAACTCCCAGCTCCGAAGATCCGGAACCATCCCCGAGAGTGCATTCGAACAAACTTCATTAGGATTTTTTCTGCAAATTTGACAGAAGCAACAATTTAATTAGATGTGGTTGAGACAGTATCCATTTAAAATTTAAAACACCATCCATTCTGTACCTTGTTGTCGATGCAGTTGGTAAATTTAACCATTCCAATTCGTTTGGCAGATAAGAAAATCGTAGCATATCATGCATGCGTTTTCTGTACAAAACAACTTCGTTTCTCACGTGGATTATTTTTGAAAGGATGCTGTAGAATATGAAGACAATTATTAGATTCCCAAATGAAACGCGAACTCTTACAATTTATTAAATTATTGTAATCATCGTCAGTTGATACGATATTCTTCTCAATCCTCAACTTGCAAATCTTATTATTACTTCGGGAAAGTATTTTTACAGATTATACTAATAAGTACCTTTTTATAATATGTACAAATTTTGACAATAAACTTTTATGCAATTATTCAATGTAAGCAATTTTGAAGAGATGAGATCTAAATTGACAAAATTAAATAAATAACTTAAATGTAGAGAATAACTATTGTAAAGGTGCAATTTTATCCAATGATAAAGGCTTATTAACAACAGAGTAGTACTGGTTATACTAAGTATATTCTGGATTATTTCAATTAGTAATAATAATGCTCAAATATCCATTCTGCAATTTATAAATTCAGTCAATTTAGAGTATCCTTGCTTCTTTTGATGAATTTTACCAGCCCAAAAAGCTTTGTTTATACAGAAAACAGTGTCTGCATTTGCAACACAAGCACAGACATTCCCAATAGAGGCTTCCGCTTAGCATAAGTTAGAGTGAGTTTTATTCATTTTGATTGCCCACTCCAATACTAGAACTCTTACCACTTCTTCTTGAAGACTTATCCTTCTGTGATCCTTGTTTGAGGACCTACATTCTCCGGATGAAGTTTTATGTGATCAATAGGAAGTGGAAATTTCACATTTGTACATTATTGTTGTTGAATTTGGTACTATATGTAGGTACTTTGCTATGATGGTTATAACATAATGTTATATATACTGGAAGACGAGATTGGACCGGAGGTCCGGGTAGCGTAATTGGCAATGCATCTGCAATGTAAGGAGTTGCGGGTTTGAGTCCTTCTCCGAGTTGATTCTTTTCTTCCAGTAGTTTTAAATTATTTAATTAAAAATTATTATTATTAAATTTATTAAGAGATGGCACCAAACGCCTTCCTCTAGTACTAAATTGTTTCATAATTTATTAGTATTATAGCCCGATGACATATGACATTGGTTGGCTTGTAGTTTTATAATGTATCGGGTTTTAGTGATGTTGTCAGTAAAACTAATTTTACGGAGTGGAAAATAAATGTTGGCAGTTTCAAGTATGATCCAATTAGGATAATACCAGGTTGTTCAATAAGTTTTGTCGTTCGATAAGAAAAACACGATTTTTTGGTTTGAAATACATTTTATTATTCAATATAATCTCCCTGAACTTCAATACACTTGTTCCAGTGATCTAATTTATGGATTCCATCCCTAAAGTGAGAATCCGGAAGACTGTCGAAATATGCTTCCACGGCTGCTATAACCTTTTCGTTCGATGAAAATCGTTTCCCACGCATGAATTTTTTTAGATGTGAGAACAGCCAGAAGTCAGAGGGAGCTAAATCTGGTGAATAGGGNATTGCAACTTTTTTCTTTTGCCATATAACTACAGAAATTGTTTTAGTATTGTTTTGCACAAAAGATGATCAAATTTAAATTTAATTTTTTGTTTTTTCGTTTTTCAAATTTCATTTATTTTTGTTTTCTAAATATACCTGATTTTTAAAAGTATTTAAAATTTTAACAGTTCTTGCTTGATTGTCCCATTCACATAAAAAACAGCAGAATTTGGTGTATTTTCTTTGAAGACCTGTTAGCATTGCAACAACTTTGATGTCAGCACACACATTCCACTTATGCTCATTGTAATTTACCAGGTTGTTCAATAAGTTTTGTTGCTCGATAAGAAAAACACGATTTTATGGTTTGAAATACATTTTATTATTCAATATAATCTCCCTGAACTTCAATACACTTGTTCCAGTGATCTTCTAATTTATGGATTCCATCCCTAAAGTGAGAATCCGGAAGACTGTCGAAATACGCTTCCACGGCTGCTATTACCTCTTTGTTCGATGAAAATCGTTTCCCACGCATGAATTTTTTTAGATGTGAGAACAGCGAGAAGTCAGAGGGAGCTAAATCTGGCGAATAGGGAGGATGTTGCAACAATTCGTATTTTAATTTACTGATTTTCGCAATGGTTTTTTGAGCTGTGTGAGAGGGGGCGTTGTCTTGATGAAAAATAATTTTTTTCTTTTTTAAACCAGGTCTTTTCTCACGAATTTTTACATCTAGCTGGTCCAAAAGGTTACAATAATAATCTGAGTTTATTGTTTTACCAGGAATTTTGTTTGTGGAGGTAATCCACAAACAAAATTCCTTTTGCATCCCAAAAAACTGATGCTAACACCTTCTTGGCCGATTTCTGGACCCTAACACGCTTCGGAGCCAAAGTACCGGGTTCACACCACTCCTTAGCCTCTTGTTTTGATTCAGGATCATGGTGGTAGACCCATGTCTCATCCATAGTGATGAAACGACGCACAAAATCTTTTTTATCCTTTCTAAAACGCTCCAAATGTTGCTGAGAAAGTTGCATTCAAATGTGCTTTTGTTCCATAGTTAGCGAATGCGGCACCCATTGTGCACACAGCTTTCTGTAACCCAAAACTTCAGCCAAAATATTGCTCACACTGCCTAACGAAATCCCTAGGGCTTCTACTAAATCTCTCTCAGTTAATCGACGATCTTCCAAAACCATATGCTGTATTTTTGCTACGATTTCTGGTGTTAATGCACTTTTTGGACGCCCTTCACGTGGATCGTCTTTAAGACTTGTATGACCACGTTTAAATTCAGCAACCCATCTTTCTACTGTTCTGATTGAAGGTGAAGAGTCCTTATACACTTTTAACAATCGTTCATGAATTTGTTTTGGTGCTACACCTTCCAAAAATAAGAATTTTATCACTGCACGATATTCGATTTTTTCCATTGTAAAAAAATACAATGACACGTCGACTTTGAACAGCTGCAAATATACAATGAGTTGACACATCTACTTGAAACTTGACACGTGTTTATGAAATAGTAGTATTTTTTATAGAGTAATAAAGTGATGCTCCTAATAGCGCCACCTCTTATCGAACGACAAAACTTATTGAACAACCTGGTATATTGTTTTGCATCACTTTCATGTTGTTTTAAATTTCTTTGATGTAAACATCATGAGTAGTTGACTGAAACGAACAGATGCTTGTTGTCATTGTGCAATGAAACTCCTTAAGGCTAGACTTAGATGAGTCAATAGAGCCTCCACTTTACAGGATTATGTGCTAGCTGAAGCTTCTCCAACAAATGTAGTATATTGTTACAAAAAATTTGATTGTCTTCCATTCAAAAAATTTCATATTTTCTGATTCCCTTTTCTGTAATAGGACATCTTAACTTTTTCCTCCAAAAGTTTCCACTGTTGGTTTTATATTTTATTCAAACAGTAACAAAGTTTTTAAAAAAAGGCATTTTTCTGCAAAAAAGTGGTATTTAAAAAAACTGTGGGTAATAGAAGACTTTAGATTCATACTCAGCACACTAAAATACATTTTAAAAAATCATGCAGATCAGTGTTACAGAATATTTAATTAACCAAAATACTGGCTTTAAATTTTATGTGATTGCTGTGATAATTTTTAAATTTTTGTTAGTTTTTGTTACAACTAATAAGCTTTATTTTGCTTAAACAACACCTGAAATAGTTTTTCAGCATGACTATAATTTATCTAAATGAATAAATTAATGTTTTTGACTTCTTTTCATAAGTCTGCATCAGGTTTAAGAAGATTTGAACTTAAAGTTGTTAAACCTGATGTAGAGTAGATAGATGTGATAAGTAGTTATGAAAACAAGTCAAAAAACATTCATTTAAATAAATTAAAATTGTTCTGAGAAAAAGTATTTAAGGTATTGTTTAAGATAAATTTGTTTCAGCTTACAGAGAGGATTTTTAAGTTTTATTTTCTTTATAAATCTTATTGTAGATTTCTTTTGGAATGCTTTTTTTATTTTTATTTATTAAATTTACTTACAACTAAAGAACTTTTTAATATGACTATCTATATTTTATAACAATGTTTGTTTAAATTCCTATATCATCATGAATGTGGAGGAGTTAGATTTTTACCAATTTTGTTTAAGGGACTAAAATTTCTAGTTATACCATTGGAATTGAATTAATTTCACGGAATACCTACTTAATATCACTATTTCACAACTTTTCTGAGAGTGGATTTAGAAAATCTTATTATCGAAAAAGAAATTGTTTTAAGAGTCATTAATGAGTTTTATTATTTTTTTAAAGTTGAATAACAGTTTATAATTAAAATACCAATTATTTGCATTAATATTAATATTTGACTTTATTAATTATTATAAATTTAGCATATCTGTCTTATATTTTATTTATTATTAATATATTTATGAATGTGATAATGATTTAATTTTAAATATTTTTTACTGCATTATATTAATATTGATATTGATTGACATTCATTAGGATGAAACAAATTTATCTTATGGACCAGCTGCTGTAAAAAGAACATCTTCAGATAGTAGCAGCACAAGTTCACTTACAAACAAACGTCCTAGACCAACTGACAAAGTTGTTGGAGCATCAAATTTAGCATCATCCATTTATACATTTACAGAAGCTTCAAGTTCAGCGGGAGCTGATCATTCTCATCATTCTTATGTCAACTCATCACCCAGTAAATCATCAGGACTTTTAGTTAGACCAGCATACGTTCCCAGACCTGTAAGTATAATTTTTTTAAATTAATGTATATATATAATATTTTTGTTAGATTTATTAAAACATAAAAAAGTATAAAAGGTAGTTATTACTAAGGTTTAGAGTTTTGGATGCAAAATTTTATATGAATGGGTACTGTCAAAATGGGTACAGATGTCCAAAAACAATCAGTATTTCTTTTGTGACAAAGCATATCGATAAAGTAATAATTACACTGCATGAACATATATCATAAACATTATTTTGAAGTTTATTTCAATATAGTCCAAGTAATATTCATCAGATCATCAGAGATCACATTGTCAGTTTCTTCAGCACACTAGAGGAAGTTATTTTAACTAACTACATTTAATTTCTTTACGTTTGAAACAAAAGTCTTTTTCTTTTGTCAGTAAATATGTCTATAAATGCCAAAAATTAGTGTTCCACATCCACTGATATGAGCAGCACAAACTTTTTTTTAACTCTGTACTCTAAATCTGCATTTGGGGAGACATCATCCTTTATGTCTAGATTTTTTCAAAGGCTTTGTATCAACTTTATCTTTGCAAAACAATTCAGGGAGTTGTGCACATCTTCCACAGTATTCCATTGATCATCTTTGGATAAATTTTTGTTTTCTAGTCTCTTTATGGCTTCTATTAAAGACTTGGAGCTCTGGACAGTGAACAGTTCTACTTCCACATTCCTGCATTGTACAGCTTTTCATTTTCTTTAAAGAATCAGAATCATCAAGACTTAAGATGAATTCCATAATCTTTCTGTAGGACTCACAGTAGAAAACAGCTGTCTCAATCCATACCCCACTTGGTAACTAAAGACTCTGGTGGTAAGGTAGTCTTATGATTTATTGTTACAACTGAATTCTTGCTGGTTCTTTCTGTACAGTTTTTTTTAATGAAATGAACTAATTTGCGATCAAGTATTCCAGCTGCACACTCAGAAGTGAACCCATCTGAAATATTACATTGCACTGTGATTAGATGGGGATAAAGAGTAAGGATTTACATAATTATCGCAGAAGTGTTGAGTTTCTAAATTCAGAATTCAGCAAAATTATTGTTCTCACTCTGTGTAGGTTTAAATTTTAAAATTCTTAAAATATTACAAATTGAGTGTAGTTTTGGTGCAAAGTAATAAAATGCATGCATGATTATAGTTTGGGTTCATTTTTTTGGCCTCCTACTATACAAAAAAAATGAATTTCTATGTATTTCTAGTGTTACTTTATCATGCTCCATCTGCATGCTACACTGAAAGCTGACTGAAGACCTTAGTTATTACTTATCATGAAATATATAAATTTCAATTTGGGTGTTTGGTTTACAAAACAAATTTGATTATTTATTTTAAGTAAAAAGATTGATTATGGAAGGATTTATAATGCTAATTATTGTAATAATGTTTTAAGCTATAGTTGATTTTGTATAAACTTCTAAAGATAGGTGAGTTTGTATTTGTGTTTATATATCATACTACATTAATTTTATTGAGAATATATATATAATAATTATTATTTAATTCTAAAATTAGCATTATCTGTGTATGTTTTGAATGTAGTTAAACCTTACTTAAGTGGTCACCTTTTTGAATATACAATTTCTGGCCATATAAAGTGAGCTGGTCACCTTAGTGGGATTATTAAAAAATTGACAAGCAAAACTGAAATTAGAATATTGTACTGAATCCTGTTAAAAGTTTAATATAGGTTATAAAAGTAAATAAAACAAAAATAAAATAAAAAATTTAACTAATACTGTAATCCTTTGCAATACATTCTGTCAAATAAATACCAAGAATTGTCCATTTCAAAAGCCTGTATAAAAGATATGAAAACAAACTTTTTTCTTTAAGTTAGTACTTACAGCAAAAAGTTTGTTTTACTAGTTTACTTAATTGTTGCATGAATTTGTAGTGCCATCTGTCAACCAGTTTATTTACAACTGTTGGTTTCATCATTGAATGTGAAGTGTACTTTGTGAGTTTTAAAATGGACAAAAATACTGAACAAAGACTTTGTCTAAAATTTTGTGTTGCCAATTAAATTTCTTGTGCTGAGTCATTAAAAATGCAATGGAAGGCCTATGGTGAGTCAGTTTTATCCAAAACATGTGCATATGAGTGGTAGAAAGCTTTTAAAGATGGCCGAGAAGTGGTGGAAAACTTGCTATGTTCCAGTCAACCTTCAACATCTTTAACTGATGAAAACATTGACAAAGTGAAGGAAATGGTGATGGAAAATTGTCATTTAAGCTTGAGAGAGCTGGCTCAGAATGTGAACATGTCTCACAAATCCATTTCCACCATTTTAGTTGAAGTTTTGGGCATGAGACGTGTTTCAAAGGGCTGAATTTTCTTCAAAAAGAACACTGGGAAAAGGTTGCTGAAGACATGCTTGGAAAAGCCAATCAGACCCTACATTCATGAAACACATCATAACAGGTGATGAGATGTTGGTTTATGAGTTTGACATGCAAATCAGCCAACAAGCTTCAGAATGGTTTTTTGAGAATGAGCCAAAACAGTTATGATATGTTTGAGAGTGAATGTTTACCCAAAAAGGCCAGATTTGTGGAAGAATAATTCTTGGATGCTGCACCATGATAATGCACCATCTCACACATCAACCCTTGTATGTGGATTTTTAACGAAAAACTCAACGAATGTCATTGACCCAGCACCATATTCACCAGATATGGCCCCATGTGGCTTTTTCCTCGTCCCCAAACTCAAATTACCACTTTGTGGAAGACATTTCAAGTTGATTGAAGAAATAAAACAAAATATGTAGAGGGATCTGCTGGCCATACCAGAAAGCACTTATAAGAAGTGTTTTAATGGCTGGATTATTTGTTGGCAGAAGTATTTTGCTTTAAACGGTGCCTATTTTGAAGATGACAAAATAAACTTGAATGATTAAACCAATATTTTGTAATCTATGTACCAAAGCCTGTTACTGGTGTGAAACTCAAATAAAAAATGAAAAGAACAAAAAAAACTAGTACTTCACAAATGTTTTCGAACCTGAAACGGTTGTTGTTTAGGTGAATGGCAAATTAGTTGCATTCCATTGGGAATTTGCTGTTCACCTGAAGAAGAGCCATTTCTGGTTCAAAAACGTTTGTGAAGTACTGTTTTTTTTTTTTTGTTTTTTTCATTTTTTATTTGAGTTTCACATCAGTAACAGGCTTTGGTGCATAGATGACTTCGCCCTGGTGTTGTTTAGTGTAGACAATATTTTGTATTTTATTTAACAATTCTTGGTATTTATTTGACAGAATGCATACAGTAATTCAAACTTTCATACAGAATAAGTTAAAAATTGCACCTTTATCAATCCAGCAAATGATTTTTAATATTATAAAAACATTTTCAATCATTTTAAATGCTCTTCCTCAGTTATACCAAAATAGAACATTGAAAATCAAACATAAAATAAAAACATGGAATAATTATAAAATTCAAACGGAAAAGATGCACATGCAGAGTAAATATAACAAAATAAATTATATAAACAAGGCCAAAGCAATGAAAGTGAATAAAATATAAGATATAAGATGAAATTGTAGTATTATCTGTTATTATTCTTAATTACTGTAAAAAGATCTCCAAGCAGTGGATAACACGTCTGCGTTTCTATAATTTATGCATCCAGTTCTCATATGCTCTTTGAAGATTTCTAATTTCTCGAGATGTTTCAATTTATGCCTGTTTGTTGTAGTTTTGATAATAGTCGCTTGATCCCATTGGACATTAACCTCCTGTTGCCTTGTGTATGACGCTAGCACGGTGGTGTCAAGGTTCTTATCTATAGTGTACCTGTGCTCTTTGACCTTTGTTTTAAATGATGCATAGTCGCTCCTATATAAACAAGCTTAGAATTGAAACTTTGGTTGTGTAAAGGCACCAAATAAACTCCCTCCATTGAATTCCAATCTTTTTTCTTTTTATCATTTCTTAAAAGCTTGTAAACAGTGGGATTACATTGGTATACAATTTGAAGATTATTAGCTTCTGCAATATTTCTATGTATTTCGATTCTAAGCTTGTTTATATAGGAGCGACTATGTGCCTTTTAAACCAAAGGCTCAAAGAGCACAGGTACACTATCGATAAGAACCTTGATAACACTTTGCTAGTGTCATACGCAAGACAACAGGAGGTTAATGTCCAATGGGATCAAGCGGCTATTATCAAGACTACAACAAACAGGCATAAATCGACACATCTTGAGAAATTAGAAATCTTCAAAGAGCATATGAGAACTGGATGTATAAATCATAGAGACACAGATGCATTATCCACTACTTGGAGATCTTTTTACAGTAATTAAGAATAATAATGGATAATACTACAGTTTCATCTTATATCTTGTATTTTATTCACTTTCATTGCTTTGGCCTTGTTTATATAATTTATTTTGTTATAGTTACTCAGCATGTGCATTTTTTCCGTTTGAATTTTATATTTATTCCATGTTTTTATTTTATGTTTGATTTTCAATGTTCTATTTTGGTATAACTGAGGAAGATCATTTAAAACAATTGAAAACATTTTTATGGTATTAAAAATCAGTTGCTGGATTGATAAAGGTGTGATTTTTAACTTATTCACTATCCAGTATATAGTTTATTTTATATTCATACAGAATACATGTACAATAGATGCAAGCTGTTTGCAGTAGAGTTCAAGTATTGTTCAATACATTAAAAAACTTTCAAAGTATTAAAATTTCTCATACAGCAAGTATAGTTCAGTAGGTGGTAGATGGAGATACATGAACTCCTTGTCAAGTCATCTGCATTTGTGGTGCAGTAATTTCATATCTAGGAACTTTTTTGTGAACTTGTTGTGTTGGATGGTCTATGCAATATGTAAAAATAGAGGATGTGAAAGAATAGCATGTGTGCATCAAATTTTGTTACTGGATAAAGGTGCTGTAGAAACTTGTGGAATGTTTCTAACAGCATTAGGAGAAAATGCATTAAGCTTCACAGCTACTT